AAGTGTGCATTCTATCTCGGCGAGGACGGTCGAGAAGCACCCTGGATCATCGAACAAAAACGAACACGCACGAAACCGAATTATGCACGGGCAATGGACGGCAGGATGTCGTACGATGGGTTGGGGCCGAAGGGCTTGTGGGTGCCGCCGTAACCCTGGTCCTTACAAGTGGTGCTATTCGCGCGGGGTTACTGCTGAGAAGGCTGGGAAAGTTCACGGCAGGGTCACTCTCGCAAGCTCGGTGTGTGGGCCGACCGTCAGTCTTGGGGACCCCGCCAGGCACGTTCTCCCGACAAGCAGCGGCAAGCACAGCAATTTCGTATCCGACGGGAAGACCCGTCAGGGAGTTGGGAGTGGCAGATTTTTTTAACCAGCTCATCCAAGGTGCAAGCAGCAAGTTCGCAGACCAATTGGACCCGCACCAGGTCGAACATTGCGAGACGTTCTGAACGGAGTGGAATCAAAGCGAAATGAGACGTTGCCTGCCAGCACTTTGGTTCGGAGGGCCAAACAGTTGGTCGCCAAGAAGGAAAAGCGGACCAAGTCTTGCAACCAGCGGCTGGCGAACCTGGAAGAAGCAATGCAGGAGCTGCAATTACAGCAAGTTGGTGAGTTGGTGAGTTCGAACTTCACACACGTCTGCTGCATGAGTTGGAGGAAGCTGAATGCCAAGCAAGTGCCACGCCCGCCTGCACCGCCCCGGCAGGGGAGGATTTCAAACCATCTCTCACTGACTGGGACCAGCAGCTTTGTGCGTTGGCAGCGTGTGGCAGCTTCGTACGTCTGGCAGCGCCTCTGGGGGGCTCCTGAGGGTCTCTTGGCGATCTCGGAGGCCATGTTGGCACCAGGGAGCTTCCAGGCTGCTTGGTCTTCCCCGTCCTGGGCCAAAGAAAACATGGACATACATAGGTTCAGTGGGGTTTTGGATTCCAGAAAATACGCGACTCCAGAAGTCGGCGGCGAGATCCTAACCCTACCCACGCCGATCAACGGTTCAAAATGGGCTGCGAGGGTAGGGTTCGGAATTCGTTGAACACGTGGCGAAATCCGAACCCTTCCCCCGGCTCCCATCGATTACGGAGAATTGATGGTTGTTGGGGGTAGGATTCGGATGTCGCCACCCAAAAAGAGGGCCACAATGTTCAATGCAGAGAAATCGGTAGCTCTCCTTCGCGTGCTTTGCCTTCGATAGCGTGAGCACGCGGCTTCGGTAAATAGTCTTGTTATGGTTTGTCGAGTTCGGGCTCGCTCGCCCTAGTGGCCTCCCCTTGGTTACTCCTCCTTCCGTGGCTTCTTCGCCCCTCACTTGGCATTCGCACACGTGTGTCGTCGCCTCCCGAGGATGCGTTGGCAGCACCCGAGAGCGTGAGATGGAGGAGGAGGAGGACGAGGACGAGGACGAGAAGGGGGTGGACCAGGGTAGACACATGATGCATCAGCGATGCTTCAATTCACCCTCCCGTCCCATGTGCTCTCCTGATGAGTCCCTAAAAGTATGCTTTTCCATGCTGGAGTCGCCCCTTCAATGACGAGCGCCCGGGGGGCCTGCCACTGAGGCGAAACCTTTCAAACATCCACGTGCCATCGTGTGAGCTGAAAAGAACGTAAAGAGGTTGGAAGGTAAAGCTCAAAGAACTGTCCAGCAATATCCCTGTTTTGGAAAGGATCTTGCGCCCATCCGCGCATGTGTTGCATACTTTCCAAATAGTGGCCCACGGTTCTCGGAAGTCTCAATCGAGAGCCCCATTTCAGAAGGAGTCGCCCTCCATCTGTGCAGTTATTTATGCGATTTGGAATTCCTGGCCGTCGAGTTTGATGAGGTCTTAAGCGAGATCTGCATGTTGCATCCATCTTTGTAGCTTGTGGAAGCTTTCCCCGAAAATGTGCGTGGCGCTAAGAGCCGCATGTTGAAAACCTCCAGCACTCCATCCCTGTATATGTTGGAGATGTTGAGACGAATTTGCGCAGCGCCAAGGCGAGAGCCGCATTTCGAAACAACTCTCCCTCCATCCATATCCAGCCAGCTGCCTGCGGCAAGTCCCGTCACCGTGCCAGTCCAGCATATTGGGTGGCGACTATTTGATGGGGGCACTGGAGGCCGACACGTGTGACGCCTCGGGCCTTTTGAAGGTTCTGGGGCCTCCGAAGGGGTTTTTGGGGGCCGTTTGGGGCCTCTTGGCAGCGCCTTGGGGGCGCTTCGGGGGCTCTTCGGGGCTCCTTGAACCGTCTGAGGGCGCTCTTGGGCCGTATGGGCGCTTTCTGAGTCCATCTTGGGGGGCTCTCTGAGTCGTCCTGGGGCTCTCTTGCGGACATTGAGGGCCGTCTGGTCGCCTTCTTGGGCCGTCTTGGGGTCCTCTGGGGCCGCTCTTGGGCCATCTTGGCACCCTCTTGGGCCATCTTGGGGCCCTCTTGGTGCCCTCCAGGGCCGTCTTGGAGGCTTCTTGGGTTGTCTTGGGCCGACAAACGGCGGCGAAAATGCGAAACTCTTTCAAAAACCGACGGAACATCAATGATGTTGGCCTCTTCAGATTTCTCTGGAGGTTCTACCGGGGCCCCTTTGGGCCGTCTTGGAGGCCTCTTGGGCCGTCTCGAGGCCATCCATCTTGGGCCATCTGAGGCCGTCGTTGGGGTCTCTTGGACCATCTTGGCGGCCTTGGTGGCCTGCCATGTCCGTCTTGGAGGCCACCTTGGGCGTTGTGGACGCCTTGGAGAGCGCCAGGGAGGCGTCTTGGCCGCCTAGGGAGCCCCGGGAATCGGGGTGGTGCACGCGAGGGGGCGCGATGAGGGGGCGGGCGGGTCCCTCAGAAGACATCAGAAATCCTGCCAAGCAGCACTTGGCATGCTTCCACGCCTCAGCATGTCAGGAGGCGCGGTGGCGGATACTTGTTGGAAATCGTTAACTTTGGGATCGTAAAGTGTAGCGAAGTCTCTAGCGAAACGCTTGGCCATGCCCACGGGCACGTCTGGCGGTGCGACAGGGGGCCGCTGTTTACATGGAAATGGGACGGAGGATCACTTGGCGCGTTCCACTGGTCGCAGAGTGCCCACTCGCAAGTGTCCGAAAGACCACGTGCCCGCCTCCGATGCGATGGATCGTGGATCCCTCGCGGTGGCGCCGGGCCATTTGCGAGCAGTTACTCTGCGAGTGGTGGAACTGGGGGGCCACATGCGAACCCTACCCCTACCCCGCACTATTTCTGAGGGGGAGGGTGGGGTTCACTTCGCATGTGGCCCCCTACAAGCCTCGTCAAAAATAAGCAGAAGACTTCTGAATTCGGTGATTGTGGGGTCAGCGCTACTCCAATGCTGACGGATGCCTGTTGACTCGGACGCGGTGTTGTCAAAAAACCGGCCCCACCCTCTCGGCCTTGAAGAACGCGCTTTCTGACATCGTGCTCCAGGATTTCAATTTCCATTTCTGGATATTTTTGACGAGGCTTGTAGGAGCGCGCTTGTCTGAAGGAGGGGGGAGGTGGACGAGGACGAGGAGAGCGCGTGCGTGGCGTCCGGGTGCAGGCCGCTCTCGGGGACGGGGGGGGGGAGAAACGGCTCGTTGGCCCAGGCCGGTCCGCCGCTCTGCCGTCTCCTCGCACGAGCTCCATCTCGCGCAGCAGCGCGTTCACGCACGTGTCCGCCCATCCCTCGCAGTCTGGCAGATCTCTTCGCCGCCTGTCCGGAGGCCACGGGATCGGAGAGTGCGGCTTCGGGGCACCCGCGCTGAATGGACGCAGACAACAGTGTGGGTCGCGACTGGGCGACCACCCCTCTGCGACTTGAGTCTCGCGCTTTAGCCCATCCTTGGCTCGCTTGAGGTATCTGAACGAGACAATCTCCCTCTTTATGAAGGAGATGCAGAAGCTCAATATCGGCGAGCCGATTTGCCTCCCATCAGAGCGCGTATACATTATATATATATATATATAGGACGACAGCGCTGGCAGTACTAGCAATGGAAGGGGTGCAGTCGACGACGGCTGCGAGGACGACGACGACGACGAGGACGACGACGGTAATGAGGAGGAGGAGGAGGAGGACGACGACCACTATAACGGTGGCAATCGTGACGTAGGCGATGACGATCGAGATTGCTATGATGAGGCTGAGGATGAGGATGAGAATGAGAATTATGATAATGATGATGAGGATGAGGATGAGGATGCTGCTGCTGCTGCTGCTGCTGCTGCTGCTGATGATGATGATGATGATGATGATGATGATGATGATGATGATGATGATGATGATGATGATGATGATGATGATGATGATGATGATGGTGGCGATGGTGGCGATGATTGTGATTATGGTGATTGCGAGCTTGATGATATTGTGCCGATCCGGAAGATTCCACCATTTTGCCGCGGTGCATCTCGTCGCCATCTAGGCTGGCACGAGATCGAAGATGGCCAGTGGCCAGCGAGATCCGCTCGGGGAGCGAGTGTGGAGCGGCGGCGGGGGCTAGGGCACGACCAGCGCTCCGCCCCGTTTAGCCGCAGGGGCCCAGTACAATGGAAACCCGGCCCCCCGCCCTCTGGGTCAGATTCGGGCATCGGGTTCCGATTTAAAATGTTATCCATAACGGTATATGAACCCGACCATGAGCAAACCGCATACGATCTCCTCAGCAAAACCGATCGGGTTTGCTCCCATGACGACGTGAGAAATCTACGAGCCAACCCAAAAATGACCCATTTGCACATGATTTGTGCAAGGAAATGCTTTCGGATCCTGTCCGACGGGCTCGAAAATGAGGCTCACGCTGAGGGTTTCCTGCAAAGAGCACTTTCTCGGCGGATCCTGTTTTCTGCCCCCAAGCGTCCAGACCGCGCACCAGAGTGGTCAGCATTCGTGCAAAAATGCGGTTTCTGCGCAGGTCCGCGAAGCTTGTGCACGACTTCTGTATTACAGCGGCCTTGCAGTCATGCTGCTGCGCTGCATCAGCACGGAGCCGTGGTTCGCAAAACGGATCAATTTCCGGAGCGCCGATGTAATGATGACGACTACGACGACGATGGTGATGTCAGTAAATACGGTGGTGTAATGACGATGATGATCATCGGAGACAAGCACGATAGCATGATGACGCGACAGCCAGGAGGCTGAAGAACGCGGAGGACGAGGTTTGGGAATAGGAAGGAGCGAGAGAGAGAGAGAGAGAAGCTGCGCACATCTAAGGTGCATTGGCAAAAAGGTGAAACAATGAGGAGCCGTGCGAAGCACGAGAACATTCCATCAGCAAGGCATGTCGAAGAAATCCCGTCAGGCTGTCACGAATTCGCCCCTAAAACACACGGTAAAAATCTCACGTCAAGAACCCCTTCTGGGTAATCATCAGACGACGCGGGAGGAGGGAAGGAGGAAGGAGGCTGGGAAAAATGGAGTAGCTCTTCTCGCCCCACCCCAGGGCCACAGGGACTGCGCAGTCCAGGGGACCGTCGGCCCAGGGGGGGTGCTCGGGGATCTGCCGGAGCGGCACGGGGAGAATGGGACAGCCCGCGACACAGCAGTCGCTGCGCCACGGTGTTCGGAGACGGAGACGGAGGGGAAGCGAGGGGAAATTGCGAAAGTTCCACGAGCCTGTTTCAGCGGCTGGTTCGCGATGCGTTCATCAACTGCGCTTCTGCAAGAGCGAACCTCGTTCCTCCTGCTCCCAACAATCCGGTTCCAACCTTCCTGTTCTTTCCTCCGTCCTTCCCTCACTCCCTGCCCTTCTCCCTTCCTTGGGGCTTAGGGCAGTACGAGAATTACGAGCTCGGGAGACGACTCCCTGAGGTGACTACATACGCAGTGTTTGGGATTTCCTCGAATCCCATCCCACTCTTCCTTTTCGCCAGGCTCTCCATGTGGACGTCTCTCTGGTCCAGGGAAGCCCATGACGGATTGGCTTCGGGGTCCAGATGGGTGCGGCCCATGCTGCGAGTCCTCGGAGGGCCCAGCTTGGCTTGCTGGACGATTCGCGATCGAGGCCAATGCTGCTGGTGTCACTGACTGAGCCCGGCGAGGTGTGCCCTTGTCCTCAACGAGCTGAGTTGGGAATTGTGGTCGGCCCGGCTCTGATGCGCTCGAATCCCAATGATGAGCCCGCCCGATGAACCGTCGCTTCCGAAGCGCAATCATTTGCCAATGGACTTGTTCCGAGCAAATCCGGGTCCAAATTCGTGTGGCGCTACGTTTTTTTTTTTTTTAAGTTTCGACTTATCCGCAGTGTGGCTGGTGAGAACTCCGCTGCTCTCTTCCCTCAACTCTAGGCCTCCCAGATGGGGTTCGAGTAGATGGGGTCGGAGGATCCCGCCGCATCGCCATCTGCGATGTGGCGCGGTGCGGATCCCGATTTTCTTCCACGTCGACGTCGCCGATGCATCGCCGACGTCGACGATGCATCGCTGGCGCATCGCCGATATATCGCCGATGCATCGGCGATACGGCGGGATCCTCCGACCCCTTCTACTCGGACCCCATCTGGGAGGCCTCTGTTTACCCAGGTCACCCGCGGGGGCGCGAAGCGGGTCGCGCTGCGCGCGTCGCGGTCGCGACAACAGCAGAGTTGCCCTTCTACCAGGGGGCCGCGCGAGGCCAGGAGGGCCCGAAGTGTCGAGATCCGCTCGCAGGCCTAGAGGTCGACACGCGCGATCGCAATCGCGGTGATGGTGGTAATATTCTGGCTTCCTAGGCGGCCGAAAGATTATACCACCAACACTCAGATCTAGGATCGTCTTCCCCTGGTGGAGACGACCCCCTGTGTTGGTGTTGGTGCCCAGGGGTGGAAGGATCGACATGGCCGTGTCTCGCCGCCCTTCCCTGGGACAGTCTGAGGAACTGGCGGGTGATGGCGTGCAGACCGATGCCCCCCGATCCGCCTGTCTTGCGGTGCCCCGATCCTTGGCATCGCTCGGACGTGTGCATGTTTTCTCGGCGGTGGCCGTCGAGGAGCATCCCAGGTCATCTTGCGAGGACAAAAGCGAGAAACCGAACAATACACGGGGAAAGTCCGAGCGATGGCGAGGTTCGCGCTTCCTTGAATTACAGTGGAGACCCGTGCCAAGAAACACCCTGCTCGCCTCCAGGGTGCCCTTGGTTTCTTGGGTTTCGATGGTTCTGCTATGGGAAGCTTGGCGTTTCCACAGCAAAAGTCAGTGGATGTCCTGGGGTCTCAGAGTTGGGTGTCTTGTGGAAGGTTTCTTGTGGTCTGGCCTCCACTGTTAGAAAGTCCAAGGCCCGCTAGGGAGTGGTTTCCTTTCAAACAGCCGAAGCCCTTCCGAAACCCTGCGAAAACCCTCTGGGAAGGGTTCCGGGAGGGTTTTCGGAGGGTGTCCGAAGGGTTTGGGAAGGGTTTTGCTCGTTTCGGGAGGAAACCAGTCCCTAGCGAACCCTGGGCTTTCCTAACTCCACTGGAGATTCGCGCTCGCGCACTCGCAGGCAAGGACAACACCGTGGATCCCACGCTGGTGGACAGCGCGCCCCTTGCCTTCGTCGGGCGCTTCTGGGAGAAGGCGCGCGCACGCCCTCGCGGACGCTCCCTGGCCCGCTAAGCCCGTCCCCCCAGGGAGTGAGGAGGAGGAGGAGGAGGAGGAGGAGGAGGAGGAGGAGGGATGGCCTACAAGCAGGAGGAGGAGTGAGCAGGAGGAGGTGGGAGTGAGGAGGAGGGAGGAGGAAGAGGAGAGGAGGAGGAGGAGGAGGAGGAGGAGGAGGAGGAGGAGGAGGAGGAGGAGGAGTGAGGAGGTGGAGGAGGAGGAGGAGGAGAACGCCATGAACATAAACTTTTGGCGCTCCGCACGAATTTCTTTGATCCGCGCTGGCCACCCCCCAGGCGGCGCCTCCGGCGCCGCCCCTGGCGCGCTCCGCGCGCCAGGGAGGGGGGTCCAGCGCACATCCAAGAAATCCGCGCGGAGCGCCAAAAGTTTTTGTGTATGGTGTTTGTTCTTCTTCTATATAAGACGGGGGGGAGGAGGAGGAGGAGGAGGAGGAGGAGGAGGAGGAGGAGGAGGAGGAGGAGGAGGAGGAGGAGGAGGACCAGTGTGAGCCCAAGACACACCAACGATGTTGGAATAAACCCTCCCCAGGGCTCCCTCATAGGACCCGACAAGGGTTCATTTCCACCTGAGGAGGCGCCCCGTTTGGAGACAACCTGTCGAAGATCCTGAAGCGATCTGAAGCGTGCCAAAACAGCATTCTCGGCACTGCATCGCCACGAATGAACCTCACCGTTGCGTCTTGACGATCCTGAATCGCACCAGAACATTATTCCTGGGATTTCACAACACCACGAATCAACGTAATTGGTGCACTGTCGCGCCTTGGCAATCCTGAATATTTCCAAAACAGTTTCTGGTACGTTAACCACGGGATTCCCTGGAAACTGCATGGCGATTTTTTAAGACGAATGTGCACGACGTTAAGGCGAAAGCCACATGTTGAAGACGAACCGGCTTCCGTTCGTGAAACTCTTGCACAGTTTAAAAAAGAATACGCGCGGCGCTAAGGCGAGAGTCACATTTTGAAAACGACCCGCGCCCTCAATCCGTGAAACTCTTGAAATTGTGTAAGACGAAAGCGGGCGACGCCAAAGCGAGATGCACATGTTGGAAACCACGCGCCCTCCATTCGTGAAACCTTTGCAAATGTTTAAAAACGATTGTGCGCGGCGCTAAGTTTGGAGCCATATTTTGAAAACGACCCTCCCTCAATCCGTGAAGGTCTTGCAATGTTTTAAGACGAATGTGCGCGGCGCTAAGACGAGAGGTACATCTTGAAAACCACACGCCCTCAATATGCGAAACGGCTGTCAATATTTAAGCTTCAGGGTCATACATGGAAAGGACGTCTCAGGCGAAACGCCCAGGTGCGACGGGAGGAGTTGTTCATAAGGAAAGGAATGGAGGAGGAGGAGGAGGAGGAGGAGGAGGAGGAAGAAGAGGACGAGGAAGAGTGGGAGGAAGAGAGGAGGAGGAGGAGGAGGAGGAGGAGGAGGAGGAGGAGGAGGACTGGAGCGGTGCTCCAGGGGTTACCTGGCACTAGTTTGATCACCCCCCCAGGACAGGGATGGGAGGCGACGAACGACGTTTTTTCCAGCCACCAGGAACCAGGGGGAGGAGGAGGAGGAGGAGGAGGAGGAGGAGGAGGAGGAGGAGGAAGAGGAGGAAGAGGAGGAAGAGGAGGAGAACCAGTATCAGCGAGATGAGAAGGGGCCATTTTGGGGGCTCCTGGGGCGCCCTCTCAGAGTACTGACACTGTGCTCAGTGCCGCGGATAACGTTTAGATATATGGCACCGTGGGCTGCGTTTTGATACGGAAAATGGCATCTCACTATCATCACAAGTGTTGCCTGAAATCATTGCTCAATCGCTGTCTGAGTTAGCAAAAGATATCACGGGATTTGACAGAATGTCCAGTAGATTCTCGTAACGGCTCCCCCGTTGTGGGTCTGATGTGGTAGAGGTCTGGAGGTCGTCGTTGTTGTCCTCGTCCTCATTGTCCTCCTCCCCCTCCTAGTCGTCGTCGTCGTCGTCGTCGTCGTCGTCGTCGTCGTCGTCGTCGTCGTCGTCGTCGTCGTCGTCGTCGCGGTCGTCGCCCACCCCCCGTGCCATTATTGGATCCATCCCATCTGGTGGGGGGGGTCCGGCGGGCCCTCGACCTTGGATCATGCACGGACCTTGCTTCACTGCATCGGGCAGCTGGTCCTCGACGAACCCCCCATGCAACCGCAGCTCCCCGTTTGGCCTCCGCCGTTCCAAGCACTCTCCAGAAACCCAACTGCAGAACTTGCTGGGCGCGAAGCGCAAAAGAGAACAGCGAGGACAGGCGACAAGCGAGAGGCGGAAGGTGAAAGAGGATGAGGCGGAGGCGAAGGCGACGCGGAGGAGGAGGAGGCGGAAGAAGAGAGGAGGAGTGAGAGGAGGAGGAGGAGGAAAAGGAAGACGACGACGAGGGGATGCAGGACAATAATTTTGCTTTGTTTTTGTCCGTTCTCTTCTCCTCCTTCCTTCTCCTCTTCCTCCTCCCTGTTCCCTCTTTCTTCGCTCGTGCGGGACCTCAGTGCGAGTACCTGGGGCATATAGTCCGATTAGGTCTGCGCGCTCAGGGGCTGCCATTTTGCTCAGGGGATACCAGACCATCCTCGGAGCAGTCTCTTGCTCCTGTCCTGTTCAGATCTTCCGCCGCCTCCTCACCCTCCTCTCCCTCCTCCTCCCCCTCCTCTTCCTCATCTTTGCAGTGTTCTATTGCGCGCCCATGTTTTTTCTCGCAGGCCACGGTTCACTGCAAGAGTTTGCTTATTGCAGACCGGCTCGTGTGGAATTCTTGGTTTGTTTGGCGACCTTTAGATTCGCATTGCAATGTCAGCCCCGCCGAATCGAGGTCATGTGACCGCGCGCTCATCTCCCTCCAGAAAAATAGCTAGGACAATAGTGATTAGAGAGGAAAGAAGACTAGTCTGATGAGGAGGAGGAGCACTGAGTGGGAGGAAGGGGAGGAAACGGACGAGGGAGGAGGAGCGTGAACAGGGCATGCACCCGATACAATGTACTTGGTTTCGGTTTTGCGCATTACGCTACAATGACCACCCCCCAAGACGCGCTCATTCAACTCGGGCGTTGCTTAATTGGGCTGCCATAAATGGGGGGGTGAAGAACAGGTGCACCTTCTGTGCCCTACATGGGGCCCCTTGGGCCCAAAACGGGTGCGAAAGGTGCACGTTGCTCCCCCCATCTTTCTCCCCCAATCATCGCTCCCCCATTAGGCAACGCCCGATCAAAGGACAGGAAGAAGAGGAGGATCACGAGACGGGCATGCATGACAAAGAGGATGGGCACGAGGAGCAGCCGTGCCCATCGAATACCTTGTGACGCTGCGCGGCCCATCGACCTGCTGTGGGCAGTGCAGTGCGGAGCAAGAAGAAATAGAGAACGAGGGGTACAACCCTCGACAGTATTAATTTCAAACATGGTTGACGCCCCCCTCTCAATGTCGCCCCCCCTTCACCCCTTCAATGTCGCCCCCCTTCAATGGCGAAGCAGGGCGAAACGCGGTCTGAGCAGGTGCGACTCGGAAGTTCCACGATGGCCGACATTTGAGTGGGGGGGCGCCAACGATTGCTTGGCACGCAATGGCACCCAAATCCAGAGTATCACATCATCAAGACCTGCGTAACACATTCGTAGGCCAATTTTGTCGAGGGTAGTAGGATTAAGAGAAAAAAGGAGACGGAGCGAGAAAGTGATGAGCGAGAACATACGGATGACAGTGATGAAGGTGGAGTTGCTCCCGAGACGCGCTTGCACAGTACACGTTGCTACGGATACCCAACTGTTGTCCTACATCATTGCGGACAGGGCGAAACAGGAAGCATGCACACATGGCGTGGGTTTACATCGTGGCGGGAACGTCCCTCGTTATGAACTTCTTTAAGGATCATAGGACCCCAAATCTCGATAACACCATGTATATCAAGGCTCCCCAGTAGGCGGGTGATTCTTCAAGTTCGCCGTTGCCGACGTTCTGTTGCAAGGAGGAGCCAGAGAATGAAGGGGGGAGGGTCGAGGAGGCGGATGAGGTACCGCCGTTGCCGCTGCCGTCGCCGTCGGTCTCACAGTACGTAGGCATCGGTTCAACTCACTATGTCTTAGTGTACGTCCCCTCTCGACCCGATTCGGGCCCTCGTATTTGCCTTAGGGGTGAACCATACGGGCGGCTTCGCTTGGCACATCTGCAACCTAATATTCCGATACTTGTCTTATCCTTTACGGTTTTTGGCCTCCTGACTTGGGCGCCGTTCTTCTTGATTTTGGGTGTCCTGGGTGCGCACCCGCAGGGATGGTGTGAGCAGGTTTCGGGCGTGCCGTCGGCGGGGGGTCTGAGGTGGGTCGGCGGGCGGCGGATGGGCGGGCAATGGGGAAACGTTTGGGGGCTCGGCATCGCTCGGACGTGTGCTTTTTTGCTCGGCGAGGAGCATCGAGGAGCATCCTGAATCATCGAGCCAAGCCACAGCACGCACGACATCGAAGCACGCACGGGGAATGGGCTCCCGAGCGATGGCGAGGGGAGCCGCGGAGCGGACCTTGGAAGGCCCCCCCCCCTTATGAACGCAGGTCTCCTTCTAAAGGGTTAGGGGTGCTGCAGTTACCTGCTAGTAGAGCTGGGGGCCACAGGGGGACGGCATTCGATCCAGTCGTGAGGAGACGGAGGGATTTGAAGTGCTGAGCCGGGTGTTGAGCAGGTTGGGAGAGTTGGCCATGACCGCAAAGGGCGATGTGTCGCATCACAGTAGCATCAGTTGTGCGGCCGATTCAGGTCTTAGATTTTCGGACGGAGCGACGGTGGCATTTGCAGTGAACAACGTATGTCTGCACAGGCTTGTGCTCTCAAAGGCAAGCGCGATGAGTCCCCCATTCTGGTCATCCTGTTGAGGGAAAACATTAAGCAACGCTTCCCCCTCCCCCCGCAATTCAAAGTTGGCATGTATACGCATCACCGGTCCGACACTCAAACTCGGGAGATCCGAGCCCAGCACTGTATTCGGGGGGAGGGGGGACCGAGTTCACGCCATATGTTACGCGTGAGCGTTGCTTGACTGTTTCCGACACCTGTCGCGGCATGTCCGAAGTATCATCCAGTGGGGGGCCCAACGCAGCTTAGAAGTCGACCGCTTAGCCTTATGCCCCCTCGCGGGTACCGTTCGGGAGGAGTGCCTGCATGTGGCCCCGAGGTGCCCCACGCAGCGCGCACACGACGCAAAAGTGTGGCAATGCGTCAATTTGCATGCACGTGAGCAGTTGGTGTTCTGTATTTGGGTAGACCCGACGAGGCATACGATCAAAACCATTGCGGAATCCATAAAGAAACGAAGAGCAGTGATTATATCTAGATCAAGGGGAGGACTCGGATGAACAGCAGGAGTAGGGAAGATGGGCAGGAGGAGAGGAGCAAGCGGGATGATCATGTGTATTAAGTGGCTGTCGGTCCATCCATCATCGTGTTTGAGTTGTGGACAAGAGGCCGCTGAGACGCGTGTTGGGGTCTCTCTGGAGGCTTCTTGGGGTCCTCTTGGGAGGCCTCCTGGCGGCCCCTTGGAAGCCTCTTGGGGGACCTCTTGGGAGCCTCTCTGCGGGCATCTTTGTGGCCTTTCTGGCGAAGGGGGGTTCGGATTGTCAGTTCGGGTTCCCCTCTTAGGGCCGTCTTGGGGAACTCCTGGGCCGTCTTAGACGCTCTTAAGGCCGACACGCCAGTTTGCGAACACAACAGCCGATTGATTTCCAATGACTTGGACTTTTCTGGCCAGCCCCCAGGCGCCCCAAGACGGGGTAAGACGCTGCCAAGAGGGTCCAAGGTCTATGCCGCCGGAATATCTCAGGGCGTGCTGGAGGTTTGGATTCCGAGGGCTTGGAAAGGCACGCGGCGCGCTCCAGAAGCGCCCAACAGCGCCAGGGAGCGGCTCGGACTTCTGGAAACCTCCGGAAATTAGCGGTCCGGGCTTTTTTTGACGAGTATGCATCATTACAAGGTGACGGATAATGGAGAAGGAAGCGAACAGGGAGGATGATGACGACACATGAAATGAGTTAGACAATCCGAACCATGACAATGGGGCGAGGAACATGTCATGTTTGTGTTCTATGCTTGTTTTTGATTGCGACGAGGATCATGCTGGAGTGTGGGGGAGGGAAAGTATAAGGGGAGAGTGGTAACGAGTGCGTAGGGTAATCACAGTACGATGACTAGACATTTGTAGGACCTGCATCCAGTGTCCTTTACTGTCTGGTACCAGTCGCTATGAATGAAACAAGGCCATGCCACCGTCACCATTATTAACGATGCGATTCAAAAGCTTCGGCCAAGGCCACAACCATCCTAGCATGGCCTTCTGATATTGAGCCGCCTTACAGCAGAAGTCCACCCCTTTCTGTAATGTTCTAGATCGTTGTGTTTCGTCGTCTTCAGTATTGGCTCACAGCGATGGTATCCGAAACGTCCGGGTTGCCTGATTTGGTGGGGCGATTGGCAGGAGTGTATTCGACACCTGCGAATGGCCAGCGCAGCTCCCTATCTGACCACGAACTGATTCACTTGCATCGGTTGGATGTGCTCGGCAGCGCCTTCCCTTGGTGCTTCTGCATCTTTGCGATGGTGCATTGTTTATTGGGGTTCGTTGAGATGTTATTACTCGTGACGATGCTGGTGGGTCTCGTTCAGGATTGGTATCGTCCTTGCGACCAGCCCTTGCATGCCTGGGTCATCGTGGAGATCACCCAGAATGCTTATCAGGCACTGCACGGGTGTATATTTAGCAGGCCCAGAGATCCAGGCGCATCTAGAGGTGCTCGTTTTTACGACAAGGTACTATTTCTCACCGTGGTATCGTTCAGTTGCATTTGGAGTATTATTGGTTTGTGTTGGGTGTTTGAAGTAGACCGTTGCGGGGAGACTGCTCCCTTCCTCTTTCAATCAGTGAGAGTGTACACAATATGCTCCGTCGTGCTGACGCTGTGCGTCGTGATCAATGCCGTGGGGTTGTACACCATCTTGGTCAGGTTAGTCGAGTTCGATTTCATCCAGGTGGAGGGTGCAGCGCCGCCTGGCACTCTTGAGAAGCTCAGGGTCGTCAGTTTTGACAGGGACGAAAAGGGGCTCGATGACCACACAGATTGTTGCATATGCATGGTCGAGCTCGCCCACGATGGCTGCGGCGAGGCCCGAGCAACCCCCTGCGGTCATATGTTCCACGGGAGCTGCCTGGACAGCTGGTTCAAGGTGAACCGCACCTGTCCCCTCTGCCGGGCGGACATTGTGAGGGAGCAGGATCTGGGGTCCGAAGTTTGCTCCCAGGGCTGCACCCCCATGCGAAGTGCAATTCCCCCTGCGCTCGCTTCCCCTGCGCTCCCGTTTCAATGCTGACGCGTGGAAGGAACTGTTCAGGCATGTCTCCAGTGATCTCAACGTTGAAAGTGCAGCACGATGGGGGTGGCTCAGAGGGGACGGGTCATTCCCACTGGGGTGTCGTGCTTAAGCTCGTTTCTTTCGGCCTTCGGGGGGTGCCTCGCCGCCACGGCCGTTCCGCTCTATGCCATGATTCCTCCTCTTTCCCGCCCCCGCTGTCCCCGTCCCGCTCTTCGATCTTCTTCTCCATCCGCCTCCCCCATCTTCATCCTCCTCCCGCGACTCGCCCCCCTCCTCCTCCTCTTCCCTCCTCCCGCCCTCCCCCCTCCCTCCCCCCCCCCCTCCCCTCCTCCCTCCCCCCCCCCACACCCCTTCCTCCCCCCCTCTCCTCCCCCCCTCCCCCTCCTCGCCCCCTCTCCTCCTCTCCCCTCCCTCCCGAGAGGGGGGGGGGGCTGGGAGGAGGCGGCCGCGGGCGCTTCGGGGCCCGAGCAGGAGGAGCATGCGGGCGGGGGCCGCCCGGCGAGCACCGTCGGCCGGCGCGCGGCCGACGAGGGCGGCGGCGCGGGAGGGCGCTCCGGGGCGGGTCCGGGCTGACCCTTCCCCTGGCCTTCGCCGCTTCCCCCCCCGGGCGCCTCCACGTGGGCGACGCCAAGAAAATGGGGCTCGTCGGCGCCGAAGTTCGCGCGCCAGCTGCTCGCGTAGGGTCGCGCGTGGGTGCCCTCGTTTCCAATGCGGCGTGCCGCGCTGGCGGCCCGCGTAAGCCGCGGCGCAAGGTCGCGGTGCCATCTCGCGTAAGACCCGTTTTTGATCGTCGCCCACCTCCTGTCCTCAACCTCTTCCCCCCCTCCCCCTCTCCACTACGACATGCGCACCCAGCTTGCCCCCCTCCCCGCCGTAAGGGTTTTATCTCCGTGCCCTGGAATCAAGGCTCGCGGAAGGGTTTGGGGGATGCCCAGATAAGTTTTTGCGGATTGTAAGTTGATTCCTTCTGTGGTGGATTGCACATTGATTCTTTCTGTGGTGGATTACAAATTGATTCCCAGTGTGGCGGAATACAAGTTGATTCCCCCTTTTGCGGATTACACATTGATTTCCATTGTGGCGGATTGTACATTGATTCCTTTTGTGGCGGATTACAAGTTGAGTCTTTGTGTGGCGGATTACAAATTGATTCCCTTTGTGGCGGACTACAAAAGGATTCCCTTTGAGGCGGATCTACAAATTGATTCCCCCTTAGGCGGATTGCAAATTGATTCCCTTTGTGGCGGATTGCACGTTGATTCCCTTTTGTGGCGGATTACAAATTGATTCCCAGTGTGGCGGATTACAAATTGGTTTGTTGTCTCGCGGATTACAAAAGGATTCCCTTTGTGGCGGATCTACATATTGATCCTTATTGTGACGCCTTCAAATAGAATTCCTTTTGTGTCGGCTCAGAGGGACGGTGACTGGGGGCCTGGCCAACGAGAAAGGCAAACAAACCAAAAAGCCAACCTGGGGGACCAAAACGCTGTGTTTCTAATTGCAAGGTGGGTTTTTCTTTTGAAAACAAAAAACCATAAAAGCGAATTTGGAAGCAAAGAACACCTGTGTGTTTTTACACCGTGTTTGCGCATTTACATGTTGATTCGTATTGTGGGGCCTTCACAGAGAATTACTTTGTGTCGGCTCAGAGGGACGGAGAGTGGGGGCCTGGCCGACGAAAAAGACAAAAAAACAGCCTGGGGGACCGAAAACGCTGTGTTTGTAATTGTGTTAAGTGGTTTCTTAATTCAAAACCAAAAAAAGACAACAACTAACTTGGATGCAAAGATAATTTGTGTTTTTAACAGTGTTAGCCGATTGCAGTTTGATTCCTATTGTGGGGCCTTCAAATTCAATGCTTTTGTGGGGATTTGCATGTTGATTCTTATTGTGTGCGATACAATGGAAATCCCTTTGTGCAGGCTTACGGCTTGATTTATATTGTGCGGCGTTGTAGTTCACCACAATAGGAATCACATTGTAAATGTGCAAACATTGTAAAACAACACAGGTGTTCTTCGGCTCCAAGTTCGCTTTGTTGGGGTTGTTTTGTTAGCAATTACAGCAACATTTAACAATTAGAAACACAGCGTTTTTGGTCCCCCCAGGTTGGCGTTTTTGAGTTGGTTGCCTTCTTCGTCGGCCAGGCCCCCACTCCCCGTCCCTCTGAGCCGACACAAAGGAATTCGATTTGAAGGCCTCACAATAGGGATCAATGTGTAGATCCGCCACAAAAGGAATCCTTTTGTAACCCGCGAGACAACAAACCAATTTGTAATCCGCCGCACTGGGAATCAATTTGTAATCCGCCACAAAAGGAATCAATGTGCAATCCGCCATAAAGGAAATCAATGTGTAATCCGCCAACAGGGGAATCAATTTGTAGATCCGCCCCACAGGGAATCCTTGTGTAGTCAGCTACAAAGGAATCGCTTGGTAATCCGCCACACAGGGACTCAACTTGTAATCCGCCACAAAAGGAATCAATGTGCAATCCGCCACACATGGCACCAATGTGTTTCAAACGGTCGGTGACAAATCTCTGAAGTCCAGGGATCCCTGTGTAATCCTCAATATTTATGTCATCCGTCAAACGTACCCCTCTTGTAGTTTTCTATGGACACGCGCACCGCATTCCCGCGAATAGTTTTCTCGTTTGCACATCCCCATAGACCGCGAGCATGTTTCACGACTGCAGCCGACCGCCGCCCCAATAACGTTTTCTGGACGCAGCTATTACCAGACTCCCTCTTCTCATGCATCCTGCTATTCCACGGAGGACATCGATGCAACACGTCATGTTCCAGGGCGCTGAGATAAAACCTCCACCCGTAAGCCCCCTCCTCCCCGCTCCACCCTCCTCTCCTCCCCCTTTCCTCCCCTCTCCACCCCCCTCTCCTCCCCCCCTCCACGCCCTCCCCCCTCCCCTCTCCACCCCCTCTCCTCTCCCTCTCCAACCCCCTCCCCCCCATCCCCTCTCCCCTCTCCGCCCCCCTCTCTCTATCCCCTCTCCCTCCCCTCTCAACCCCCTCTCCTCCCACTCTCCGCCCCCCTTTCCGCCCCCCCTTCCTTCGCCTGCTAATGGGGGTCAGCCTTTTGGGGGTCAGGGAGAGGTACGCTCAGTTCCTGGGGTGTTCTCTGTTCGGGCGCGCACTTGTCTCAAACCATATGTCTTCCTTTGTTTTGCTCCTGGGCAGATCCTTGGGCAATCCCTCGCTGGGGCCAGACGTGTTATCAGAACACTTGTTTTCCTTAGTATGCCCTTCGCTGACTCTGACCCCTAGAAGTCTGAGCTCCATGAGCATGCGAATGACCCGCTCTCCTCCACCTCCCTCCTGCTGGCGACTGCGACCGCAGTGCTCGTTGTGTATGTTTCGAGGCAGTGCCATTGCTGGCGAATGCCGCTCGCGTGAATCCCGTTGCTGGCGGTTGAGCGCCCGTGCCCAACGGCACAGCCGAGCGGGCGGAGGAGAGGGGAACGACAACCGGAGAAGAAGGGAGGGGGGAGGAGCGAGGGTCCCACGAGTCTGGTTGGAAGCCGACACGTTCTTACTTCCCCAACCCGGCGTTCTGCCTGCGACATCCCACTAATCCGGGCGCGAAGGGGCCCGTGAAACACCTTTGGCCAACCTCCACTCGGGAGACCCAATGGGCCTTTGGTCGACCTCCACTTGGTACGTAGACCCAACGGCGATGTTTGCCACACGGTGGTGGGTAAGAGTACGGGTGAGGGTGGCCATTAGTGGCTCTACATACGAGCGACTACGAGCATGAGTAAGTCTGAGAACGGAGATATGAGTAAGAGAAAGTCTGGATGTGAGTGGATCTGGGCAGGAAAATATAAGTCCGAGTGTCAAGCTAGCGGGCTTGAACGAGAGCGAGTTTGAGTCTGAGTGTATATGAGTATGAGTGGGTCTATGAGTGCGAGTGGGTCTCAGTGTGAGTGAATATGCTTGCGAATGTATCCAAGTGTGGATGGGTCTGAGTACGAGTGACGTTGTACGCGCGCCATGAGCGTGAGCGAATCTGACTGAGTGAGCCTGGGTATGAGTGAGCCTAAGCATGCGTGACTCTGAAAGCAGTTGTGCGCGAGTGGATCTCAGCATGAGCGATCGGATATGAGTGAGTCGGGGTGTGAGTGAGTCTGGATATGAATGAGCACGAGTATGGGGGAGTCGTGCTGTGTCGGTCCTGGTATGACTGACGGACGGTGGCGGGAGTGAGGTTAGAAGGCGGAGGCGTGACATTGATAACAATAGTATTATGTTTCTCACATGGTGAAGATGCCACAATATTTGACACACAACAAAAACGCTGCAACCGAGTAAAACACAGTGCATCCCACTCATCACGAGCAGAACGTAGAAGCAACGGTTCCATCCATATCTTGGCGTGCATTGCGATCCATCACAAGATTTTGTCGCGTGGATTATTCGGTCACAGTCTACGTGGGCACCCAGCTCTTCTGACAGTTCTGAAGGGACGGGAGCGAAATCCTGTCTCATGTTGAGTCCCTCATATGCTATGCTTTCCGACTCGCCCCTCTCTTAATATGTTTGGCCATTTGTTGTTATTCCATCATCATCATCATCATCATCATCATCATCATCATCATCATCATCATCATCATCATCATCATCATCATCATCATCATGATCATATGTTCCTCACCTCCGATCCGCATAGCGCCTCGTTTCCCCTCATCATCCTCACTACTCCTGGTCTTCCTTTCCATCTCATCCTGCTCTCTCCGACTCATCACTGTCCTAGGGCACACCTTACGATCATCAAAACCAGGTCAAGTTCTTCGCGCGTCGTCGTCCTCCTGGCCTCCTCATCATCCTCCCATCCTCCTGCTCAGTGTTCATATCTTCCTCTGCTGCTTGTTCGGCTACTCCGCCTTACGTGTCACCCTCCTCCTCCTCCTCCTCCTCCTCCTCTTCCTCCTCCTCCTCCTCCTCCTCCTCCTCCTCCTCCTCCTCCTCCCTCCTCAGAATCGCCCTCATATTCCCCATTCCCTCCCCATTCTCAGGTTCGTCCCGACAGTTTCTCCCGATTCTCGTAATCACTCTTATATTCCTCATTCCCTCCCCATTCTCAGGTTCGTCCCTACAGTTTCTCCCGGTTCTCATAGTCACCCTTCTACTCCTCATTCCCTCGCTCTCCAGGAGGACCTCGAGCGGGCCCCATCCGTTGTAGCCACCTCTCCCGGCCGACACGTTGGCGCGGGGGGGGCAGCACGCTCGGTGCGCTCGCGCTACATCTGACGTCCTGCGGTCGGGCCGAGGTACATGATCGAGGTCGGTTCGGAGAGGGCACCTAGATCGGTATCGTTTATCCGATCCCCATCCCCATCTCCATCGCCTTCGAGACCCCCACCAAATTACCACCCCAGTTGGGGATACACCCATCGAAACCCGAAGAGAACGACCCATGTCCCCATCTAAGGGGGTAAATCGGCCAGCAGGGCCCAGGCCACGCCGCTGGGGATGGGGATCGGTTAAAAGATACTCACTAGAGGAAGGAAAAAGATATAAATGCATGAATTTTTGGCGCTCCGCGCGGATTTCTTGGATCTGGCCTGGACCCCCCTCCCTGGCGCGAGGAGCGCGCTAGGGGCGGCGACGGAGGCGCCGCCGGGGGGACCCAGCGCGGATCTGAGAAATCCGCGCGGAGCGCCAAAAGTTTATGTGCTTATGGCGTTTTTTCTTTTTCTGGTACCCTGATGCTCTTCGTGCTTGTTGGATGTTCTTGTGTATCCTGGGGGAGGGCACCCCCGAATTATCTCAAGGTTTGGGGTGTTTTGGTCAGCGGAGGGTCTCATGTGTTTCAAGGATTTTCTTCTGTCCTAGGTCTGACTGTACGGTAGGTTCATGCGGCGATGGCGCGCCAGCGACGCCGACGAAGGCGTTCAAGGTTGAATTCCGCATGATAGAGCGGCGCGGAAGAGCCGAGGGGCACGATAACGCCGCAGGATCCGACGGAATTCAACCTTGAACGATCGGGGCCGCGATGGATTCAAGGTTGCGCGATCGGCGCGGTGTCAAAAAATGTTGCGCTCGCCGACGACGCGCGAATTTACCGTACCCCTCCTTCCCATCATTCCCACAGCGCTGATTATTTCCCTATCCGCGGACGCGTGTCGTGGCGGACATGGCACTCCAACAGAAAGACCCCATCGTGTTCTGCGCATTCGGCAAAAGGGAATTGCGCACATAGGACCAGGGCAAGGCGGAAAAAGGAAAATACGGGGGGGGGCGACAACCATGAAAAAGGACTCGGACCCAGAAGATTTGCCCGCGCTGGGGCGAACGCGCCATTCTGAACGACGGGAGCAAAGCGCCGATCCGAGACCGAGGCCCACGCTGCAGCGGGAGCACCACTCTGAAACACCGAAAACGGTATGATGGCAGAACAAACCTAAGAACAGACGCAACTTGTGAAATTCGGTGTGAAAGAAAAACACCTTACGGGGAGGGGTCCCAGCATCGCCCAGACGGAGTCAGGGGAGGAGAGAGTACTATTCATATTGTGTGATTGTGGAGGGACCCCCCCCCGGGGAAAAGTCTGGACATCCTTCACAGAGTCTTCGAAGTGTGCAGAGACAGCGAGCGGCCCGAGAAGGTGCAGTGTTCCACGCACGCCCCGCTGCATGGGGTTCCGTGGCGATAGGCTGCGAACGAGAAGCGCCGCTGCTACAGTTGCTGCACGTGGCCATCCGCCTGCACTAAAATGATCATGCAACTGCACCTTGCCTCATCATCATCATACTTACCCGTTACGGACACCGTTCCATCTTGGGCACGAGCCACTGTTGCAAGGCCGAGCGGGCCCCCCTTCGCCCCGTGGACTCGTAGCATGACCTCTTTCGGCCTGGCCAGGTGGGAGATCTTTCGAGGGTTGGACCTAATCGAAGTAGGATGTTAGCCAGCGTGGACCCCAAACAGTGTGTGTTTTGTGCAACCTACATTGTGCAGTGAGAGTGGTGCGACGTATGAGCCACACTATATGTTATGCAAAACATGTGGACCAAGCTATGTGGTGCAACACATGTTGTGCGGCATATGGCGTACAATCAATCAACCATGTGCACCCATAAATATGGAGCAATACATGTTGATGTTGACCAGTCTATGTGGTACAACCCGTGTTGTGCAATCTATTCTGTGCAATACGTAGTATGCAAGATATGTTGTGCAATGTGTGGTGCAATCTGTGTGATGCAATATATGTTGTGCAATCTATGTGGGGCGGCGACGGCGGCCATATAGCCGCCAGACCGAAGACACGGACTAGACGACGGGCGGCGACGGGGTGATGACGGCAATCACATAGATGCCAGACCGCAGACGCGGCCCAGTTCTTCAGAGCAGAAGAAAGCACCCTTGAGTGCAAGCACTGTTTGGGGAGCAGCATGTTTCCCCCTTTATACCGAGTTTACGATGGAGAGCTCACTCCTGGCCACTTTCAGGCTCGCCTCGAGCCTCACGCTGTCCCCATTATGAAAGCGCAGCGACGACATGACTCCCAGGGAATTTCTCACTTCTTCGGACAGACGTCTTGGTAGTCAAATTGAACAAGTGTTCGCAACGGGATGTAATCATCACCATCCGTCCCCTGCACCCGCTCCTTCTCCTTGTCCTCGCCGTCCGCCTTCTCCGTCTCCTCGTCCTCATAATCTCGCTTCCTCTTCCTCCTGTCAGGGGTTTGAATCCGAGAGGTCTGCAATCTGTCTTCTTGATGTTTGACAGCTGTCGTAGACAGACATGGCTCACCTGGTGACCTTATCACGCCACGCGTGTTCGCGCAAATGTCCAAACAGTCATACTGCACACTTCGAAACATAGGCGAACCCTCACCAGGCCTGAAATATGCCAGACGAGATCCAAGCTTATAGTCGAAAACCGCCCAAGCTGTCAGAAGCTTCCCAGTCCCGCGTATCTGCCATCATCCCGAGGCGAACCCCAACTGCGCCAGTGTGTTGCACGGCTTGTCCTGCCCTTGCTCAAGAGCTCGCCTTCATCTTTATTATCCCAGGGCTGGGCCTGAACGGTGTTTGGGCGATTTCGTGGGCCGGTTTCGTTTCGACTTCGTTTTGCGGTAGAGGTGGATTGAAAACAAAACGAGGGAAAACGAAAACAACACGAAAACGAAAATCACCGTTTAGGTTCAGCCCTGTATTATCCCTCCACTTCTCCCTCCTCATCCCGCCCTCTCCTCCCAACTCCTCTGTCTGCTCGTCTGTCCACTCAGGAGCAAACTGGACATCCGAGGCCTCTGGCCCTTGCCTTCTCGGAAGCCGCCTGGGAAATCAGACTCTTTGAGAGCCCAGCGTTTTCAACAGAGGCCTTACCCATCTCTGAGCTCCTCCTCGTCCATCATTCCCCCTCCGACAATCAATACTGATAGTAAGTATGGGCGACTTGGCATACTTTCCCTCTGGCCCATCCTCGGGCAACTTTCTTTGGCCGCGCCCCGCTCGAAAAAAGTGGTGGCATGGCCTTCCAAGGCTCTCGCATCCCTATCGCGCATCCTTACTCGGGGGATCTCGGGGGTGGACAAAACCCTCACCCTGACACGTTTAGTGAATTGACCGTTTTCGGTTCTCGAGAGGGCGCCGCGGCCGTCATTTTCCAGGCTTGCGCCCGCTAGGTTTGTGCCCGAGGTCGTTTTCGCTAAACCACGTTTTGCTAAAGGGGTTTCTGTCCATCCCGACTTACTACCTTTATTTCTCCCCTTGTCGGGCCAGAGCGTCGTGAGGCTGATTCTCGAGCGCCTCGCGTTCTTTGGCTGGCCGGCTGCCCCCAAGCCCACAGGCAGCAGCGCCGGTCTCTGTATTCGGCCGTCTCTTCTCCCTGGTTTTCATATCCCCTCTCCTACGGTAGAGGTAAGATCGGAGACGGCAAAGAGGGAGGTGATGATTAGGGGGTGGTGGATCTCATGGCGGGGGCCATGATATCTCCCCAGATTTCATGGCGCCTCTTCTCATTTCAATGCGTCCCTGGCCCCCCCTGGGCCGCGCACATGCCGCTTGCCATGATTTGCGCCTCCCCCTCTTGGACACCCCTCCTGGCCGCCCCCGATAAAACATGTTGACGCTCCCCCGCTCCCCCAAACTCAAGGTTGGCACGAGCGGAGGAAACTGCGGTCGCAGCGCAACTCTTCATACCCACCGCTAACTTTGAGCATTGGTGGGAGGGGGAGGCGTTGACCGATGAAAGTGGCATGAATGTTCGCTATTTTGTCCGAGGCCTGTATTGACGATCCTCCGCTTCCTTCCCCTTCTCCGCCTCAGCCTTCCTCTTTCCAGCCCCCTCCTTGCGCCCTCCTTCCTTCTGCCTCATCCCTCCACACTCCTGTTGCTGATGCTGCTTCTCCTCCTCCTCCTCCTCCTCCTCCTCCTCCTCCTTCGTCTTCCCCTCCTCCTCCTCCTCCTCCTCCTCCTCCTCCTCCTCCTCCTCCTCCTCCTCATCCTCCTTTCTCCTCTCTCCTTCTCTTGACCCCCCACTCCGCCTTCCCCCTCCTTCTCCCTCCTCCCTCCATCTGCCACCTGCTTTCCCCCGTGGCCTCGTCGCCCGTGTACACGATAGCTCGCCCATTCCTCAGGTAAAGCCCCGGGACACCGCTTACGCGATCAACGAGCACGTCGGCGAGATAAAAAAGCCGGAGCCGGGCCAGCAGGCCGCCTTGTGAGGATGAATGAGGAAGAGAAGGAGGAGGAGGCGGAGGAGAAGGAGAAGGAGAAGGATAATAACAATAACAAGAAGAAGGAGAAGGATGGGGAGGAGGAGGAAGAGGAGGAGGAGGAGGAGGAGGAGAGGAGGAGGGGGGCGACAGAGAGAGAGAGAGAAGGGAAGGCGGGAGAGGATGATAGTGACGACGAGGAGGAGCAGGGGTGGGAAGACGGAGGAGGGGGGAGGAGGCCAGGCCATGTCGCGAAGCACCCGATCGCCTCCAGAATCGGCGCAGAAGTTTGTGTTGCCGGTCCTCGGCCTCGCTTCGTTTTCTGGAGGTAAGAATGGGGTATGGTATAAAGGGGTGTGGTGTTAATTTTCGGTAAAGGGGACCCTGGCGATGTTATTGAATCGCTTCGCTCATTCCGCCGGCCCATTTCGCATGACTGAGCCTCTTGGGGCCGCTGGGGGGCCTCTTCAGCGTCGCTTGGGGGCCTCCTGAGGGCCTCTTGGGGGCTTTGGGGGCCTCTCAGGGGCCTCTTGAGGCCTCCTGGGGGCTTCTTAAGGCCGAGGGCTCGAAGTTTTGTTTTGTGTTCCCCCTTTGGGGCATCGCTTGGGGCCCTCTTGGGCCCCTCTTGGGCCGTCTTGGATGCCTCTGGGGCCGTCTTGGAGCCCTCTTGGGCCATCTTGGGGCCTTCTTGGGAGCTTCTTGGGCCCTCTTGGGGCGATCTTGGGGGCCTCTTGGGCCGTCTTGGGGCGTCGGGAAGCCGAAAAGATGGACACGCCAAAATCTGCCCAAAACCTAAGGAAAAGTAATGAATTTTGCCTCTTGGGGCCCTCTGGGGAGTGCTCTTGGAGGCCTCTTGGGGCGTCTGGGGGCCATCTTGGGCGTCTTGGAACGATCGTGTGGCATCCCGGAGCACTCTTGAACCATCTTGGAGGGCTCTTGGCGGCCTCGTGGCCCTTCTTGGGGCTCTCTGAAGGGCCACGGGGGCGGCGCCCAGGAGGAAAACCATCTCTGACCCGAGTCTGCCGGGGATCGCCTGGGGTACTTCTCGTCCGGGGACCCCCAGGGGCCGCCCCTGGCGATGTTGTTTATCGCAGATAGCATCGCCATTTCCACGATTGGCACCATGCCCCTTTATGCTACACCCCTTTCCGACCTCCAGAGTTCTGTTCTGCCCGAGGAGTCGGGCTGGTGAGGGAGGGGTGCAGCGCCGAGGGGCGAGACTCTGCACCCGATCGTAGCGTCAAGTCGGGCGTGTCCCTCTACAGGACAAACATTTCAGCCACGCGCAGGGGGGGAGGGGGGGAGAGGGAATGGCTTCTTAGAAGCACTCCTGCTTCTTAGAAGGCGCGGGCCTTATCTATAGATGCAAGGCCGGCGCCTTCTAAGAAGCAGGCTCCTTCTGACTGGTCTGTCTCGGATGAGGCCTTCGGATGCCTCCTCGTAGTCGCAGGGAGGCCTCCCGAAGGGGCGGGGGGGCCTTCCGGGAGACCTCCCGGTGGGGGCGGAGGCCACCGGGAGGCCTTTTCTGCTTTCTGCCTCGATGGAGGCCCTCCTCGGAGGCCTCCTCGAGGTCTCAGGGAGGGCTAATGGGAGACCTCCCGGAGGGGGAGGGGAGGCCTCCTGGGAGACCTCCAGGAGGTAGAGGTAGGTCGCCAGAGAATCGGAGGAGGATAGAGGAGGAGGAGGAGGAGGAGGAGGAGGAGGAGGAGGAGGAGAGGAGGAGGAGGAGAGGAGGGAGGAGGAGGAGGAGGAGAGGAGGAGCAGGAGGAGGAGGAGCAGGAGGAGGAGGAGGAGGAGGAGGAGGAGGAGACAAAGCCGTGGATGTCTTCCCCCTTCGCCCGCCCTAGCGCAAAGCCCAGGCCACACCGACGCCGCAGGAGGTCGCGAGGCAGGTGGGCCAGAGCACCGTTCAGAACCTGCGCGGTGCTTTTGGTGCGCCGCCGTCCCCGGGGCGGAGCGAGGGCCAGGGTGACCACGAGTGGCGTAAGCATTACCTTTCGGAGGTCCACACGGATCTCTTGGATCGGCGGTGGGCCCCCCTCCTTGTCGCGCGGAGCGCGCCAGCGGCGGCACCGGAGGCGCCGCCAGGGGGGGTCAGCGCCGATCCAAGAAGTCCGCGCGGACCTCCGAAAGTTCTATGTCTATGCCATTGTGTTGTTAACCCGAGGGGCGGAGCGAAGGCCGGGCCGAGAGCAGCGTGAGTCTGGGTCTGTTTCCTTGCACAGTTCTGCTCTAGAGTTCGGACCCTTTTTGTTGTCGTTGTTTGTTTCCTTCGCCAGCGCCCCCCCACACACCCAGCTGACATCACCCCCGGTCGTTTCAATTGAATTTGCCGCCCAAGACAGCCTCAAACAGGTTCTCCGATGCCCAAGAGGCCTCGAAGACGACCCGGCCCCTAAGATGGACTCCAAGAGGCCCTAAGATAGGTCTCGGAGCGCCCCCGGCAGGCGACCATGAACAATATCCATAGGTGTTCACACAGTTTTTGAGGCCCGCGCCGTTCCCCGCTTTGAGCTTAAGATGTCACCGCGAGTCCGCGAGAGGTCCTGACACGCGCTCAAGATTTCCCAGGATGACTCCCGATCCAGCCACAAGGCGGTTCCAAGACTATCCCACGATGGTCCCATCAGGTCTTCAGACGGCCCCCATGACCTCCAAGTCGACCCCAACGGGCCTGAAGAGGCAAGATACCCCAGAAGAGCCCAGCACTGTCCCAAAAAAGGTTCGGGATGGCCGCAAGGGACGCCCCTTCCTCACTCTTCTCCTGTCCCTCGCCGCTCCCTCGTGCAAGCGTCCTGTCGAGTATTGTGCGCCTTGGGTTTCGCACCGTGCTCGTGCGGGTCTGGCAACAGGGGATGATGGGCCTGTTTTCCGTCACCACTACCACCATAAGTTGGAGGGGGGAAGGAGGTGGAGGAGGAGGAGGTGGAGGAGGAGGAGGAGCAGGAGCGCAGGCTGGCAGAGGCTGAGACAGCAATGAAGTCTTCTGAGGCAATGAAGGAGCGCAAGCGTTTAAGGGCTTATATGTATGCGGAGCGTAGAAGGGCCAAACTTTGGGCCCCGTCGAGGAAGATCCTTCCTCTCCAGGCTCTGGTGAGCCCTGTCGGCGCCGTTGCATCGAATGCGCAGGAAATGGCATCGGAGCTGCATCGACACTGGGCCCCTGTCTTTGCTTGGAAGCAGGTTCCTGTCAAGCACGTTCGTATGTATCTCCAAAAGCATGCCCGACCCTTTGACTGGTCCGAGGTCTCGGTCCCAACTGTCTCACAGATTCGGGGGACGCTCGCCAGGGCCAAACCTACGGCGCCAGGGCCAGACGGACTCCCGTACGCAGCCTGGCAGCAGCACTCGTTGTCGGCTGAGATTCTATATGACCTCCTCCTCCACCTCCAGGCTGGCTTTCCCCCACCAACTGACATGAACGAGATTCTTTTTGTTTTTGCGCCAAAGGGCAAACGTGAGGATGACAGCCACTGTGTTGTGCGTGAGGCAGCTTCCACACGTCCTTTGGCGCTCAAGAGTGCAGATGTTAAAGTGCTTTCTTCGGTGTGTAATTTTCAGTTCAAGAAGATGCTAAGTTCGCAGGCGCAGAAGGACCAGAAAGGATTCCTGATCGGGCGGAACTTTTTAGAGAACATCACTCTCCTGGACACCACCTCCAGGATCCTAGGGATGCCCGAACAGGCCAGGGAGCGTCACCCCATCCTCTTCCTCTCTGACGTTGGCAACGCCTTTCCCTCCCTCGCTCACATCTTCCTCTGGGAATTCATCCAGTTCCTTGGGATGCCGACTGGTTTCATGGCATTTTTCAGGCGTCGTATGCATTTGCGTACGCGAAGGCTCCTCTCCTGGGACAACTCCTGGATTTCGGTCTAATATGCTCTGGCGTGATGCAGGGATACCCTGCAAGCGGCTCAATGTGGGCCATGTCTATGGACCCTCTTCTGAGGGCTTTCAGGCAGCGCCTTGACCTCTCACCTGGGTCGGAGTCGGGGGTTTGCGCGGACGACGTGGGCTTGGCTTTGTCAGAGGTCAAGGCACCCAGGAGAGTACACGGTGTTTTTTTTATGCTGCGGAGGTCTTTGCGGGTCTCCAATTAAAACTACCCAAGTGTTGTATCGTTCCCCTGGAGGCAGAGTTCTGACCGTTCCTACAGAAGCAGATAGAGGCTCTGCTTTGAGATGTATGTCCCGAGCTGGAAAAAGATTCCTGTGCTGCCTATGGCAGAATACCTTGGGGTGTGGATCGGCCCTGCTGCGAACAATGAGATGTGGGCGAGGATGTTTCGGGAGTGGGTGGAGGTGGTGAATGCTTTCACGAAGCAGCAGGCCGCCCCCTCGGTGGCGATCCAGCTTTATAACTCTCGCGCCATCTCCAAATTCTCCTACCTCTGTCAGCTTGCCCCCCTCCCCAAGCAGATCGCGCGCTGGGAGTCCTGGGCTTTTCACCGTGTCCTTCACCTCCCCTCGTGCACGTTCCCTCTTGCTGACCTCCTTGCTCTAAGGACTTGGGCCAAGGTGCGTCCACTCTCGCTTCAGGTTCAGGGAACTGCAACGCCCTGGAGGGCGGCCTTTCAGACTATCGTGAATTGGAGGCCTCTCTTCCTGCGAATGCAGCAGAAGGCCAAACGTTTCTTGCCATGTGCACTCTTGGCGGCAAACAATTGGTCGCCCCCATTTTGGAAGAGACGACCGTTCGTGCAAGAGCTTGCACTGGCCGAGTCGGGTTTCAAGGAGTGTGATCGGCTTCGTGAACCATTTACCCTGGCCAGAAAAGGCTCTCGCGGAGGCGCAGCTTGTGAAACCGCGGGTCCAGGTCCAGCGTGTTTTCGGTCGTTCCCTGGGTGCTGCTCTGTATCAAGACAATTTTGGGGACACCATCAAACGTAGGATTGCATCATGGGCCGCGTGGCCACGGACAGCTCCTGCTCTGAAAGCCATCGACTGGTTTGTTCTCCGCTCTCGCCTATTGCAAGCGCCACCATCGTGGCAGATATGCATTGTCAAGAGTCTGGCGGGTGGGTGGGTGACGGAGAGGAGGATGTCGCAGAAGCATTGCCAGTGTATTTTCGGTTGTATGGAGGAAGAGGCCTCGGACAGGCAAGCTCACTATATATGCTGTCCCAGGTTGTGGGCCGCGATTTTGGCAGCCTGGTACCCCGAGACGCCTCTCCCCCAACCCATCCTCTCGCGGTTCGCCTTACATCGCGCGCTTACAGATACTGAGCGTGACGTGGCGTGCCAGCGTATGAAAATTGCATACTACATGTACAACGCACGCCGTCGTTGCCCCACCCAGTCTCTCGATTGTTCGGCACGCGCTGCACGTGCCCAGATGCTGCAGCAGGCTGAGGTAGAGCGGCGAGGACGTTTGGACTTTCCTGGGCTACGTGCGAGGAGGAGGAGGAGGTGGAGGAGGAGGGCGGAG